ACTTGAAGATGATGATATGATTGTGTTGATCTCTCCCTGTATTTATGTTCTTTAGTTCCTCCTCAGGTTTTTTGTTAGAACCGTTAGCTTTGTCACCAGAACTGATTTGGGCCTTTTCCCAATTGACACAGCCCAATTACACATCTCTCTCTCATTGTATCCGAATGGGCAATTGTATACGAAGCCCATTAGTTTGTCAATGTATCTGATCCATTAATCCACATTTTAGAAGCCATATTCTGTAACAGAGCCCATGTTTACCTGCGATCTAGGATAACATATATGCTAATCAACGGATTAAAGGAAGTTAAGTATTAACTATGCGTTGTTGCAAGTTATGAAGAGTTCTTAAATAGTTAAATTTCATGATTCTCAATTTCTTAGGTAACATCAGAGCATAATTAATTTATTTTGTTTTCATTGATCGTGTTCGTGAAGAATACAGATGCACACTATTATACTCTGCGAGATATACAGATGCACACTATTATACTCTGCGAGATATTGGAAATTTTGTCGTTCTTCACTTATCTACCCAACAAATTGCTTTGCAATCTATTTACATATTATGTATTAAAGATTTGAAAATTTTGCGTTTTGAGTCATTTGTTATCCTTCTCATGTACATGCAAGAATGAAGGCGAGAGGAAGAATAAAAACAATTTCGAGTTGCTCGAGAAAGAGTATGTTGCTCGAGAGATATCAAAGAGCATGTTGCAGGATGGAAGATTCCAATACTTAGCAGCGATGGGAGGACCAAGATGGCTCCATGATCGAATAGCTCAAGAGGTTTGTAGGTAGCTTCAATTTATCCTTATCATTTGGAATACCATGCACTCATTTTAGTGGTTTTTAGATTGATGAGATACTCTGTTTGTTTTTTTGTCATGGGTTTCAGGGCCGGTTTTGAGGGCAAGCGGGCGAAACCCGTGCTTGCGGCCCAAATTTTTCGATATTTGGTTTATATATATTATCGGCAAAAAAATATGCATAAATTTTCTTTAGTTCAATTGGTTCATAGACTACATGGAATAAAGAAAAGGTGGAGGGTTCGATTCACCCTTCAAACATTTGGTTCATTTTTTTGTTTCTTTCAAAATATAATAATAAGGATGAAAGGTTGCAAATAAATGAGTATGATTTCATCCCACTTGTATCCTCTATATATTAATAATAGAGGAGATCCTAGGTAAAAAATTATTTGTGTCTAAAGAGGAATTTAAGCACCATATTTCCTAAAAAAATTATTAATGGCAAATATATTGAAATAACAAATATGTGGTAATTAATATAGAGAATTTTATTTAAGGAATATATAAAAATATTTGAAAATATCTTATTGTATCTTCAATAACTACCACATTTGTTTATCCGAGTCAGAGCGGGATTAAAATATTTAAAAGCAAAAATTTATGATTATTTCTAATAGATGGAAGATATTAAAACTAACAAAGATAAAATATATTTATGTTTGATCAAAATATAACTTTATGACATTTATACATAATACATATTATTTTTGTACGTTTACACGTCTTAATATTAAATTCGATTAAAAATATATTAATTATTTAATCTCACGCTTGGCATGGGTCAAAATCTAGTATTATATATTTATATAGACGATTGTCTATTATGCTCATATCAAATAAGCTGATTGAATTTTTTTTTGGAAACGCAAATTTTTGTTTAAAGAAGAGTTCACAATCACACATGTTCAAGTTGTACTCATGCTTATTTTGATTAATAAAAAATAAACTTTTGCGATTAACTAACTTTGTTGTATATGATAAATTGATAATACAACACATATACAAAATTAACAGAAATGGTTTAATACAAAAGTGAATTTTAAGATGTCAAGTTTATTTTTTGAAGAGAAAATTATACAGATTGACACTAATTTATTGATATATTACTAGAATAGCACTCATTCAAAAACACTTAATAGAAAACATGTAAAAAGTTAATTAACCCATCAAACTTTAATTTAATTACACTAAAACTAATGTCATTTTACTATTAAAAAAKWWGCCAAAAAAAAAAACTAATAATTAAAAAATAAGATATGAGATTAAACAAACTTCTTTTTCTCTTTTCTCTCTTCTCAGATCATCCCTCACCATCATCATCGACCATTATCAAACGAGTCACACAAACTTTTTTTTTTTTGGAAAATTGACTTCTTCTCTCTTTTCTATTATCTTGATCTCTTAAAAGTCATGTTCGTAGACGCCGTTTAGCGCCGCTAATACATTCGACGGAGCTCCGCCGCGGGGATTAAACTATAATCGAATTAAAACACGAAAACATTAAAAAAAGCTCTGAAATCTTTTGTTTTTTTTGCTCAAAAGAGTATATTTGATGTTAGATTTACAATTTTATGGTAAGTCGAACTGAAAACAAGTTAAAAACAATGATAACTGAGTTCAAGATGAACGGCCAGGAAGAAGAAGATGACATGTAAATTACAATTTACTTCTTATTTATTTTAATGAAGAAAAAGGCCAAAAAACAAAAGGTTAATTACAAAAAGAAGAAGGCGATGACAAATTCAAAGTTTAATTAGGAGAGTCCTAATTGTCGTTGATTTTTTTTAAAAAA